TAAACAACATAATATGTTTGTGGTCAAAACAAAATGGTTTAAGCTTAAATCCAACTAAATGTTCTTGTATTTCATTTGGTCGTATAAATAATCTAATGGCTAATAGATATATTCTTAATGATGTACTCTTGGATTCAGTTACTGTGATTAGAGATTTGGGTGTATTATTGGATTGTGCATTGACATTTAGAAGCCATTTTCTTAAAGTTAAGGAAACAGGATTTCGTAATCTTGGTTTTATTTATCGCAACAGTCATGATCTCTCACCTATTGTATTTAAATTATTGTATTGCTCTCTGGTACGCTCAGGTCTTGAATACTGCTCTGTTGTCTGGTCCCCGTTTCATCAAGTATACATTGATGGATTGGAGAGCGTTTAGAGGAAGTTTCTAAGATGTTTAGCTTTTAAAGCCCATATTAATATAAAAAATACTGAAAATTATTTCATAGATTATTCTATAATAATGTCTCATTTTAACATTGATACATTGAAGAACCGCTGGTTGAGAGCTGATAAGTTATTTTTGTTTAAAATTCTGAACAATGTTATTAATTGTCCCTCGTTATTGGCCAATGTACACTTAAACACAATGCATAGAACTCGACACACTGCACTCTTTCATATTCCTTTTCATAGGACTGATTATGCTCGTCATTTTCCCCTGTCAAGAATGCTCAGCTCTTGCAATGACCTCCTATTGGATCCTTTCTGCATAAACATTAATGCTTTTAAAAGGTAACTTAAGAATCTGACTATTAATCTGGATATGTGATACTTACTATGTGATACTGATACTTTTTTAAAATTTTTGTGATATGATATATTATTTTAATGTACAAATTTTAACTGTTTACTTGTTTCTTTGTTATTGTCTTGATGTTTATTGTACATGATCTTTACTTTTTACTATTTTTTGTATTTTATTGTAAATGGTTCTACCGTTGGAATGAATAAATACATATATTATATTGTTGTGGCATTTAGTCAGACTTTCTATTAGCGATTGATATTGGCTCCCATTCTTTAAAAATGTACCACAGGGTTAGTTAAAATATAATTGTCATTGATTCTGTAATTAATGTAGCAAGCTGACTAAGTTAACATATACTAAAAAGAGAGTAGGGCAAGAATCAAAACATTGTGGAACTCTCCATAGTTTTTAAAGTGATATACTAGTGCAGTATTTGGTTCAGGTGAATTGCATTCTGCTCATGATATAATCCTGGAACCAATCTAAAGAAAGACATCTTATACCAAGATGTTTCAAGATATATAGTGTTAATTACTAGGTCTATTGTGACTGAAGTTCTGCTGCTACCCTAGCTAAAAATGATATTGTGCTTGGAATCAAAATGTGTTCATATTTAAATATTCCACAGGTCTTTTGTTAACTTAAGTTTCTACAATTTTTGATACAAGGCAATAGTGAGATTGGTCTCTAATTATTCAGTAATAATGTGTTTTCTTGCTTGTGTACTGTAATTAAGGTGGTATGTCACAATGTTACAATTTATATACTTTTTAGGTACAGTTATCGTCACTATTTCAAAACAAATTTTTAACTTATGATTATGTATGTAAACTATTAACTTTCTAATTTAATGATATCTAGTTAACATTTCCAAAGAATGCAGTATTTTTTTCATAACTGTACTTAAATGAATCCATGTCACTCTATGTCATAACTTATGTGGTAACGTGCCTAAAAATTGATATAGTGAAATAATTTTTGAACTTAGGTACAAAATAACTACGTTAAATGATTAACTATCCAAAAACCTTTATTTTTAAATTAACTGTACCTAAAGATAAAATTACAATTAAAAGCTGCAAACTAGGAATTTTGTTGATGTTACCATAATAAGTTGGCATTTTGATAGTGAGAAATTAGTTCAGCTATCACTTAATAGATGAGAAAATAAGTTCACGTGTCATTTAGTAGAAGGCAGTAGTGATGTATTAAATAGCGATAGATGCGCGTTTGCCGAATTTAAGAAAAATTTGTAAAACACTGAAAACTAGTTTTGTGGTTAGATATACCAATTGTCTATGAGTTATGCAGTAACCATGGTAACAAATCACGTGGTTTTGTTGGCAAAGCGGCCCCTCCCAGTTAATATTTTGGCATCGTTTGAATTTCTTTGTTCAATCATGATTGTATAACGGAACAAAATGTCATAAATATACAAGTATACCACTTTTTTCCTTGGCACCTTGACGTTATATAAACGTATAAACAAAAATCGCATATAAAAGTGTCATCATCATCTTCACAGCTTGAACAAGCTTCATGTGCCCAGCCACCAGAAAGAGTTTTTGTACATCTCGTTGCAAAAAATGCAAGCTTCTTCGTCTTCTTCTTCCTCGTCTTCATTAGAGGACGTATCAGAATCTTCAGCCTGACACTTTTTATTTTTACGCTTATTCTGGATAGACAAACCATTGTTTTGTTTCATTTTCTTGCGCAGTAGCAGAACTGGTTCTCTAGTCTTTCATTTCTTTAATAGATTATTATTGGAAGTCGCAGATTTTTCATTTTTATTGGAAACGTCTTTTTTGTGTTTACCTTCTTGTTTCTTTTGGCGCTTCTGTTCTTAGGCCTCTAGTTCAGCCTTGTATGGAGGCGATGTTAATATGAAAGTTTTACCTTTCCTCTTGTTACTATTCCTTTTACACGCTCCTTTTCTTGGGGTGGGGGGCATCAAAATTTTTGGTGAAAGCAGAAAAGCTGATTTGGATGATGTAGACCTGTTAAAGTAGAGGGCTCAGGAGAAGTTTCTTTATAAGGCTCAGGAGAAGCGTCGTTAGAAGGCACAGTTCTACTTGAAAAAGTAGAATGTTCTGTTTTATTGTTTGTGATGTTGGTGGTAGTGGCGCATGATATCTGCTGCTCAGACTTGTGGTTTGGTTGTTCTGTGGTATCTGACGGAACAAACAGGTAATCAGGGAATACATCTCTATTGAATGGATATATTCTTCTTTTTCAAATCCCTTCATTGCGGTTTGACCATTAGCTGCTCTTGAAAAAGCAGCATTGACTAGTTGTATAATTTGATAAATTGTAACACGCTTGCCAGGGAGATTAAGCAATCATTTTTTAACCTCTTGTGCATAAAATGTACTAAGTGGTGCCATAAATGAGACATCGAGCGGTTGTAATCGATGTGTGGTGTGTGGTGGAAAACATAATAATATAACGTTATTTTCCCGAGCAAGATGAAGGAGTTCTAAACTTTTGCTATGGGAACTGTGACCATTAAGAATAAACAGCACTGGTTTTTGAGGTCCGGGATTAGTAAACTCAATATACTTTTTAAACCATACAATAAAGTTTTCTTTGGTAATCTAACCAGTCTCACAATACACTGCAGATGACCCTGGTGGGGCACCATCCACTAAAAGCAGATTTGCTTTCTTATGGGGAAATACAAACATTCCTGGCATAAAATTCCCTTCATACAGGTTTCTAAAGTCACCAGTATACCTCGTTCTGCTAAGGACAAACAACCCACTTGCTTTCTACCATGCAGTGCCAGGATTCTGGAAGGCTTGTTAGGTACAGTAATAATGCCGGTCTCATCTACGTTGTAGATATCATTGGGTGAAATCTATCAAATCAAAAAATTTCGTTACTGCTGCTCGATTAAAACCTTTTGCTCTTGCTAGTGAAGTTTTTTCAGGATTACGTAATATTAATTGGGGGCCACCTTAGAAAGCCATAAAGCCAATGTTTACCAGGCATTTTCTTATCTTCATTAAAACGTGTGGGCTGTGATTTTTAACGGCTAAATCGAAAGCTAGTTTTCTTAAATCTGTTAAGCTACGGCCAAACAATCTTTCTTCTAAATATAAAATATAATCCATAAGTTCATTTTCTTGCTCTTCGGAAATCACAGTCTTAAATCTACCCAATCTTTTTTATGTAGCTTGTTTCGAACTTATGTTCTTTAATTTATTTGTGACTAGTGTTAGCTTGTGGCACAACAATATATTATATTGTTGTGGCATTTAGTCAGACTTTCTATTAGCGATTGATATTGGCTCCCATTCTTTAAAAATGTACCGCAGGGTTAGTTAAAATAGAATTGTCATTGATTCTGTAGTTAATGTAGCAAGCTGACTAAGTTAACATATACTAAAAAGAGAGTAGGGCAAGAATCAAAACATTTTGGAACTCCCCATAGTCTTTAAAGTGATATACTACTGCAGTATTTGGTTCAGGTGAATTGCATTCTGCTCATGATATAATCCTGGAACAAATCTAATGAAAGACATCTTATACCAAGATGTTTCAAGATATACAGTGTTGTGTACTAGGTCTATTGTGACTGAAGTTCTGCTGCTACCCTGGCTAAAAATGATATTGTGCCTGGAATCAAAATGTGTTCGTATTTAAATATTCCACAGGTCTTTTGTTAACTTAAGTTTCTACAATATTTGATACAAGGCAATAGTGAGATTGATCTCTAATTATTCAGTAATAATGTGTTTTCTCGCTTGTGTACTGTAATTAAGGTGGTATGTCACAATGTTAAAATTTATATACTTTTTAGGTACAGTTATCGTCACTATTTCAAAACAGTTAATATTTTGGCATTGTTTGAATTTCTTTGTTCAATCATAATTGTATAACGGAACAAAATGTCATAAATATACAAGTATACCAGTTTTTTCCTTGGCACCTTGACGTTATATAATCGTGGTTGAAAGTCAAACCATGGTCATGGAGTTTGAGGACATGGCCATGGAGTCTACACATACACAAGTGCTACAATAATGTTGGTGAAAACTTTCATGTTCACCTGATCCATGATGATAATGCTTTCCATGTGTGGCACATATTGTATCTAACTGGTTGACCAAGTTTGAACTTAAGATATTTAATTTTTAAAGTGTACTGCAACTAGCATTTTCTCAATGATTCTACAGTAGTATTTTTTTTTTATTTTGATCTTAAACATCAATGCTTTTTGTATGACTTTTAAATATATTGTTTTAGTTTCAAGAAGAAGTAGAACAGTTAAATGAAGTAGCCAACCAACGTCCCCATTCCCAATTAATAGCAAATATTCAAAAAGAAAATAGGCATTTAAAGGAGATTCAACAAGAAAATAGAGAACTTAGGGCTGCTTTGGAGGATTACCAAACCACGCTACAGCATGTGATGTCTAAATATAGGGAACATACCAATGAAGAAATCTACAAATCCAAAATAAATTTTAAGGCAATGCAGGAGCAAAAATATAGTGAGATTATTAAAAATCAAGCAGAAAAAATTCAAGAAATGGCTGCTGTGATGGATAAAGCTGCCTTGATAGATGAGGATAGGGATTCTAGGGTACAAGAAGTAGTTTCTATGTTACAAGTAGAAAATCAGGTAAGATCATTCTCCTTCTTATCATAGTCCTTTTTGAATGATCACTACTATCGTTGTGATTTTCATCTTATCTATTGTTGCTCTAAATTCTTCGATATTTTATACATGGCTTAGATGTTATATTGTTCATATTTTTGTAGTTAATTATCTTTTCCTCATCATTTTTTCTTCTTCTTGCTCTTTATAACTAATTGCTTGTTCATTGGCGGATTAATACCTCTGTGGAAGGTTTCCACTCTATCTTTTGCGCGGTCTTCCGATACTTCTTCTATCGATTGGTGATTTATCTCTTGCTATTTTGACGACACGGGGGTTTCCCATTCTGCTTATGTGGTTATTCTTATGCTGTAATTCTTCTCAAAACTCACATCTCTGCAACTTCCAGTAGCCTTTGTGTTGTGGTTGTATCTGGTCTTGTTTCTGAGGCATATGTCAATATTGATCTTACACTGCTTTTATAAATTCGTGACTTCGTTGTGTCTTAGTGTTAATGTGTCTGTTTCGCCATATAGTGCCATATAGTCATCCTGCCAATCTATTTGCTTTTTGTACTTGATCTATCACTTCTTTGTCCAGGTCTCCATAGCTGGATCGTGTAATTCCAAGGTATTTTATTTCCATTACTGGTTCAGTACTAATGCCATCAATTTCTATTTTACATCTGATTGGTTCTTTGCTAATTACTATTGTTTTGGTTTTCTGTCGTCTGCGTAACAGAGTATTTTTACTTCTCTGTCGTCTGCGTAACAGAGTATTTTTACTTCTCTGTTTCCCATTCTTTGTGTCCTTTTCCTTTGTTAACGCTTTAGATAATTTTATCCATGATTAAATTGAAGAGCTTAGGGCTCAATGAGTCACCATGTCTTATTCCGCTGCTTATTTCTATAGGTTCTGTAAGTTGTCCATCTATTCTGACTTCCATTTTGATGTTTTGGTAGATGTTTTCAATAGTTTTTATATTTAGGGGAACTTCACTATTATACAGAAATTGGATTACATTTTTGAGTAAAATCATTTCTCACAGCAATGCTGGTCTATTATACTCTAGTGATTTCTCAGTAATTTGCTTTATGATAAATATTGCGTCTGTACATGATCTTCCAGTATGAAAACCATGTTGTTGATCTGCTAAATTTACCCTCTGATTTATTAGTTCTTGTAAAATTTTACTTTTGAGTTTTAGGATCGTATTTAATAAGTTTATACATCTATAGTTTTCTGGCTGTATTTTATCTCCTTTTTTGAATAGTAGAATTGGTTCGCTCGTTATTCATTCTTTTGGCATTTCATTGTGTTGTATTATTTTATTAATTACTGTTGTTAATTGTTCTGTCTTTGTTGCTTCACAATATTTCAGTAATTTGTTTGGTATCCCTTCTTTACCTGCTGCTTTTCTGTTTTTTAGCTTTTTAAGTATTTTACGAACTCCCTGTATATTTATATTAAGTTCTTCATTTCTGGTAATTTCTAGTGTTACCGGCTCTAGCGTTATTTATCCTTCCTCTGCATAGAACTTTTTAGGTAGTCAATCCATATATCCTATTCTGTGTTTTGGTTCTATTAGTTCCTTTACCTCAGTTCTTTGACATCTTATAAAGTACCATATTTCCTTTTCATCATCAATCAGCCAATCGCGTCCACTGCTGGACATAGGACTCCCTCAGTTCTTTCCAGTGTTCTCTACACCGGGCCGCTTGTAGCCAGTTTCCCGCTACACGTTTTATATCATCTGTCCATCTAGTCGGTGGTCGTCCTCGGCTTCTTTTATAGTTTCTGGGCCTCCATTCCATGATACGTCTTGTCCACCGCCCATCTTGTGCTCTGGCTAAGTGCCCTGCCCAGTTCCACTTAAGCGACGTGGTTCTTTCGATGACGTCTTGAATTCCTGATCTTTGCCTAATTTGTTGGTTTGTTATGTGGTCTCGAAGGCTCACGTTCAGCATTGCACGTTCAATGGCTCGTTGTGTAACTCTGAGTTTATTCGCAGATTTTTGCGTGAGTTTTAAAGTCTCTGCTCCATAAGTTTGTACAGGTCAAACACATTGGTTATAAACCTTTCGCTTGAGACACATGGAATTGAACTTTTTAGAATATGGCTTAATTTGCCAAATGCTGCCCAAGTTAGGCCTATTCGCCTCTGTATTTCATGTGTTTGATTGTCTCTGTTTATTTTGATTTCGTGTCCCAGAAAGTTGGCAAGCATTTTGCCTCTTTCGTTTCTTACTCTGATTCCAAAATCTCCGATTGCCACTTCTTGTTCGTCATTTTTCCTTCCAAGTTTCCCGTTAAAATCTCCCATTATCAGATTGTAATGAGCCGGTTCCTGCTTTTTTGCTCTTTCGATTTCCTCATAGAAGGCTTCGACAATTTCGTCTTCGTAATCGCTGGTGGGGGCGTATACCTGGATTATTTTCAGATTGTATCTCTTATTTAGTCTTAGATTTATATACATAACTCTTGGGGAAATGCAGTCAATGCTCTGTATATTTTTCTGTAATTTTTTGTGTACTAATAAACCTATTCCTCCAGTTGTCGATTCCGTTTCCCCTTTATAGTGGAATATGTTTCCTTATTTTAGTTTGACCTGATCTTCACCTCTTCTTTTGACTTCGCTAATTCCTATAATATCCCATTTCACATGTTTGAGTTCTTCCTCCAGTTCTGTCATTTTTTCATCCTTAGATAAGGTTCTTACATTATACGTAATTATGTGCAACGTTCGTCTTTCTTGGTAGCCTCTTACATCCCGGCGATTCTTCGCACCCTCTATCCGCTGTTCATGAGTCCTACGGCTACTTTGGTCGCGAACTAGCGAGCTGCCGGGGACTGAGGGCCCTTTTCTTGAATGTCTGTTCATGCTGAGGGGGTTTTGGCATTTAAAGACCACGTTTGCCAGGCGGGTTGGTGAGTTGGTTTGGGAAATTGGTAGGATAGTAGGTATTGGGTAGGAATGGGGTTAGGACATGATTTCTCTCCACAGGAGATGAGAGAGAATCAAGGCTCGCGTAGGGCAGGATCGCATCTCTGAAGTAAGTCTATCCTCCACTGGGATTGTGAAAGAGTACCTACCCGCTACCACAATACCACATATTTCCTTTTACAGCCCATAAAAATCATGGTTCATTTCTTTTGAAAAGCGTTCCAGGTGATCATTTTGAATTTTTCTTGCAGGTGAAGTCCCTTTTGAAGTGCAGGTGTTTTGTTTCTTATTGTCTTTTAATTGTGATATGCCTTTTGTGTTTTGGTTGACATGTATTTCAGGTAAGGCTTTTTCTATTCTTTATATTTTGCCTTCAGTTCCTTACAAAACCATTGAGTTATTCGCTTTGGGAACTTTTTACGAATTTTTGCCCAGCTTTCTTCGACTCCATCACTTTCTGTAATACACTTTTTCCAGCTTTTTTCGGTTATTTTTTGTTTAGAATAGGTATCTTGTGGATTCATCCGATAAGCTTTCGACTTTTATCTTTGTGGTGTAGTCTGGTGTTTTGTTATCACATATATTATGTGTTATGCCGCCAAGGTGTCCATGTACGCCTTTTCCTTGCCGAGATATAGCAATGGCTATGCTGGCTTTACCGTAATGTTAGCATAATCATTGTTTGTCGGAAACGGTTGCATCAATAAATTGGACCCCGTTATGCAACAAGGAACCAACCAACATTACCAAAGTTTTGAGAAAAATTAGAATAATGTTTAGATTGTTTCATGAAATTATTTAGGCATAAAAAAATGATTGACGACAATAAAATAAACACTTTTATTACAATAAAATGGTATTAATGATATTAGTAAAATACATAAGTACAATATGAACTCCTAAGGTAGAAAAAAATCACTTGGTTCTTTGTTGCTAAATGTAATATTAAATATCCACGTCTGGTTCGAAATCTATATCTCCATTAAATCCATCTATATCCTCTATTATAGAATTGTCTGCCGTTAGATTTGTATAAAAGCTGTGGTGTGCTGACGGTATTAAATGAAGATAACTTTGTACGTCTCTCAACTTTGCGTCTGCAACTGGTTTTCCCTCAGGCCATAATGGTTCTAAAAACGTGTTGTACTGTGGTCCGGTTGAAGCTTGTCTTCCTGCTACTTTCCGTATATTAATTTCTTGGTAATCGTCATTGTCTAGGTAAGTCGTCTTCAAAAAAATATTATAAGGCTTATCTTTAAATAATTTAACTTCTTTGGTTCGTAACCAACTTATCTTCTCGTTCGTAATACTTTTTTTTCTGTTTGTGATTTGTTTTTCTAATTTTGAGGTACTGAGAAAATCTTCTTTTACCATCATATTTACATTAATAGGTCGCTTTTGTCTACAAGTTCTCATTATATTGCTGTATTCTTCAGGTGAAAATATATTATTTTGCTTTTTAAGAGCACATTCGACATCTCCAAAATCACTATCATTCGGCAGAAACGTATGACCTGGAACAAGGAACCTCAGCCTAATAGTCTTTAAATGCTGTGATTCCTCCAAAAGACATTTTAACAAAAGTACTATTTTAATGTTTCTGTTTTGTCCACCGCAAGAGTCACTCCACAGAATAATATGCTGAACTTTATCGCTTATGTTAGCGAGAATGTATTTTCTTAGGCAAGATCCCACTTCTTGGGCTCCACGGCCTGCCTGTCCTTCTAGCCATAAATTAAATGTTGATTTTTTCTGTTTACCTGCATAAATTCCACAATTATATACCCATAACTGTCTTTTGTAAAATATAATATTTGAAGATATGCGAGGTAAAGGAAGCGTTTTTTCTAAATCGAAGGTCAGAGTTTCTGTTTGCTCGTCTTCTATTGCCTTGGCCAAGTCAATATTCATTTGTTTTCTTCCTAATTCTGCCTCTTCTACATGTAATTCGTGTTGTCTAACAATTTCCCGTTTTTCATCGTCGTTAATACTTTGTATCTTCACTTTAAATGCATCACATTTATTGCAAGTATCCTTTTTTGGCTTTTTTAGCCTCAAGTTAAAATCTCTCAAAAAAACT